AGCTCCCGGGCCCGGCCTTCACTACGCACCGCCCGCACCCGCCGCCTTCGGTCTCTTCGATGACGCGGCGGCCGCTGCCGCCGCCGCAGCTCTGGGTTTGGCGCCGCCCGCCGCCCGAGGTCTCCTTACGCCGCCTGCGTCCCCGCTGGAGCTGCTGGAGGCCAAACCCAAGCGCGGCCGCCGCTCCTGGCCGCGCAAGCGCACCGCCACGCACACCTGCAGCTACGCCGGCTGCGGCAAGACCTACACCAAGAGCTCGCACCTCAAGGCGCACCTGCGCACTCACACAGGTGGGAAGCGAGAGCGGGCGGCGGGGGGGCGCAGGAGGAGAAGCGCTCTCAGAAACCCCCCAGAGGGCACGGTCCAGGAGATTGGGGTGGGGGCGCGCGTTTAGGACTCCCCTGGGGGCGTGGCCCGGGAAGTTGGGTGGGGCGAGCTCTTAGGACCCTTAGGGGAACTCTGTAACAGAATGTTGGGTGGGGCGCACGCTTAGGACTCTCCTGAGAGCGTGGCTTAGGACATTGGGGAGGGAGTGTGCACTTAGGAACCTTAGGGAGACTCTTAGAATGTTGGGGCGAGTATGCAAGCTTAGAACCCCTCTGGGGGCGTGGCTCCAAGCAGTAGAGAGTGGACTGTGCGCTCTTCGGATTCCCTGGGGACTAGAATCAGGAGGTCCGCTAGTGAGGGACACTGGCCTATGATCCTTAAAGGTTCAAAATGTAAGGGGGAGCGCCTTAAGGAGCTGGTTAGAGGTAGGTCGCACGCGTTAGAGGAGCCACTATCGGGGTGAGTGTCTGCGCACCAGGACCACAGGCGGGCAGCAGAGTCCCAGGGGAGGAAACTGAGGTCCGCTCTCGCTCCCTCCCTGCAGGCGAGAAGCCCTACCACTGCAACTGGGACGGCTGCGGCTGGAAGTTTGCGCGCTCAGACGAACTTACGCGCCACTACCGCAAGCACACGGGCCACCGGCCATTCCAGTGCCACCTGTGCGACCGTGCCTTCTCGCGTTCCGACCACCTGGCGCTACACATGAAGCGGCACATGTAGCCTGGACGCCCCCCCGCCCATCCGCGCGCGGCCGTGGCGGGTCCCACGCGCCGGGCGCGGCCCCCTTCAAAACTGTGACTGGTATTTATTGGGCCTAAAGGACCGGGCCGGGCACAGCGTGGCCACCGAGGGGGCTCCCCCGACGACGACGACGCCCTGGCCCCCATCAGAGACTGAAGGCCCGGTGGGAGAAGACCACGATCCTCCTTGACGAGTTTTGTTTTCAAAATGGTGCAATAATTAAGCGTCGTCTTTCCCCCACCGGGTCTACACTAGAGGATCGAGGCTTGATGCCTTGTGAAAAAAATACAGCCTTAATTTGTACTGTTTGCAACATTTTTTATAATATTGTACATAGTGACTGTGACAGATATTGTATTACTGTAAATAAGGAGACAAGTGGGCATTTTGGCTGCCTGGTTCGTTTTTATAAGACTTTTGCTGTTTTTTTTAATTAAAAAAAGTTTTTGCATCTTTTTGAAAAATCACAGCGCTGGTCTGGCTGCTTGGAAGCTGGGGGCTTGGGACACCTGGAAAGGGGTGGGGGAGACAGGCAGCTTTGACGGAGGGCAGCCTGGGGTGGGGTGAAAGTGGGGCCTGCCTTGGCCAGCCTGTGGGTTGCCAGCTGCAGCGCCCAGCTGCCAGGAACCTGTGGGTTTTTCTATAAATTTAAACACTGCATTTTAGGACTGAGGGAGAGCTATTTTAAGGTTGTTCCCTGAGCCATAAATTGCCTCCTTTTCCCCAGAGCTGGGGAAAGTGCTGGTCCCACTGACGTGGCCTCTTTTGGGCTGAAAAAAACCTTACCTACTTCTGAAGCTTCTGAGGTTTTAGCCAAACTTCTGGAGTATGCAGGGTTTTTGGGGGGAGGTGGGGGGAGGGACAAAATGTTAAGTTTCTGACATGTTTTGCCTTTTACTAGTCTTGCCTTTAAGCAGGATTTTTTTTTTTAAGGAATGAGTTCCCCTATCTTGTTAAGAAGAAGCTGAAATCCACATTTGAGGTCCACACGTGGTGGGTGCTCTTTTCCAGATGGGGAAACTGAGGCCCAGAGAGTTAGCTATGGATTAGTGGCATCAGAGCACTAGCCTGGTCTGGCTGCTTCCCGAGGGTCCCCGAACCCCACTAGAGGGGACTAGGGGCTTTCCGCAGCAACCCACGTACTGTTTGCATTGGAGGGACGTGAAACCCACCCTGCAGGTGCCCTAGTATGAAGGAGTGACACCAGAGCCTTGGTGGATGGAGGAGCCCACTGCAATAACCCACCTGGTAAGCAAGGGCGACCCCTGAATGTCTGAGTCAGGCGAGGAGGTGCCTCTCCCTGGCAGGTTGCCCTGCCACCCCTCATCTTCCCCCTTTTTGGGGCCCTGGGTAGGTAACCATGGCCACCAACAATTGCACAAGTGTTTTCCAGAAAGTGAAAATAGCTCATAAGCAGCACTCGTTTTAAAACACTCTCGCCCCGTTGCGACAGAGGCCGGGATTTCCTCCCTCCCTCCCCCCTCCCACGGCCCCCTCCCCCGCCGTGGCAGCCCTGGAAACAGCTGAGAGCGTTTGGTAATCCAAAAAAGCAGAAATGGGAGATGACAATCTGATTCATCCTCGAGTAAATAGCTTGGCCCACTTCCGCTGGCACGAAGGGCATGTGAGAGAGAGAGAGAGTGTGTGTGTGTGTGTGTGTGTGTGAGAGAGAGAGAGAGAGAGAGAGAGAGAAAGAATGTGGAATGTGG